CTTGAGTCAATTTTTATCATCATACACATTCTTATTAGTAAAGATACATTGGACGCACATAATGTTTTTTTTTTTATATATAAAGAATAGTACTCTACATAAATTAGTAACAATATCTTTTATGCCCATATATATATATATATATATATATATATATAGGTATTAGAGGGTGTTAAATAATTATTTTATAATTATTGTTGAATTTATCGATCCAAAATTGTTAAAGTAAGTTTTTATGCATCGTCTGGATACATTGTTTTTTTTTTTAGATTAGTAGGTTCATATCATTGTCATATGATATGAATTTAAATTTAAAATTCAAATCATCCACATGTGGTGTACATCCGTAATTACTAGTATAAAAAAATCACCATATTATCAGTACATAAAAAGTTAATCCAAATTGTCAGAGGAGTTATAGCGGTGGCGGAGAATTTGCAAAACCATGCGTCCATTTGGTTACATCTTTTTTGAGTTTTGACTAGTTTTTTTCTCTTTTTTTTTATGTCGTCGATAAGCAAAAACATTAATCTAACACTTGAGATATTAATTAGAGGCAAAAGAAAGCAGAAGACAAATAAGTTGATAGAATTCACTTTGTTTGATTTTTATATTAATACCAAAATCTGATGGGATTTATAATTTTAGGACGTTTAATTGTATACGTACAAGACAACTTATCCGCTGGCTTTGGTCGATTATGATCACAAAGCTAGTAATAACTTCCTTTTGAAATAGGCCCCAGAAATTTAATTCAAATTTAAATAAAAAACATCTCAATCTCATAAATGGTTTGGTACTATCATGATTTGATGAGGAGACCCTGGATTTGGCTTGAAGAGACCTTCTCTGCAATTGGTCGGCAAACCTAATATATAGCCTAATAATGAAAATCATTGATCATACAAGGCCAACCTGATTTTTGGCACATTAACTATTGGTGTATGTGCAAAAACTCCAATGTGCTGTGCCGTGACTGAACAGGCGATGAGCAGCTCATGCATTATCTATTCCTTTCGCGTGCATGATCTAGATTAGCCATTTGCTTTTGAGTTTGATAAGACCTACTACTACTAGTTGATTTCTTGTAAGTTGAATTGTCGATTTCTTTCGATTGAAGTGGAAATGAAGACTAGTTCCATTAAGTGGGAAGATTATTGGAAAGTAACTACGGTTAGTTTCTGCTGAATTAAGTGGATTAACCTAATGGAGCCCCTTGTGCTTTTTACGTTTGCTGTTCATATTGCGTCAGAAGCCTATCATCCAACAATTATTGGTGTAATGGCCCCTAAAAGGTGTTGTTGCTAAAGTTTACTCTAATCAATTTGGGCAGCTACCACTAGAAGCTAAACTCTAAATTTGTTTTATTTAACACAAAAGCTCTTGTTTGGGGTGGGGTTACCGAGTGTGTCTTTCAAATTTTCCAATCTTTTATTGCATAAAAAAAAAAAGAAAAATGTCTTATTTTAGTCGAACCAAAAAAGGTGTATATCTATTTTAAATAAAAACAGAAACCTAACTAAACTTCAGACTATAACAAGAATACGTAAATTATGAATAACGTATTCTTATACGTATTATTTCTAGAAGCAATTTGATAATATAACAACCTTGACGTACTTTTTTCTCCTTTGGTTGAGGAAACAAAAAAAGCTTAATCATTAATGTACCAAACGAAACACTAAGGTCAAATAACACTTTGCCCCCCTCCCCCACACCCCACGGGAACCATAGCGAAGTCCCACTTTGGCCACCTAAACCATCCTCAAAATATATGAAAATTTTACTTTCAAGCTGTCCTAAGTATTATTCACGCTTGCCCACTTCAACCAAAAGGATTAACACTTGGATTTAATAATTAGTAACTTTGTATATTATATATTGAACTGATACGAAAGTTATAGTATAACTATAATACCCCCACCCCCACCCCCACCCCTCCCTTTTTTTTTTTTTTTTTTTTGTAAGTGGGGTGTCTCGAATTCAAGATCTCTTACTTACATGCCTCCTCCTATCACTCAACCTATTACTCCTCCCCTCCTTTTATAATACATAAAACTAACAAACTTTACTCCAAAATATTATTGATTAAAAATACCCCATATGTGTGTGTGTATATACCTATATATGTTGATAGTAAAGTGATTGCATATATAGGGTATAGTTATAACCTATATAGCCTAGTCTGATGTGCCATAATATCTTTTGAAATATGTAACAAAACTTTCAAATCTTTAACCTCAAAAAAAAAAAAAGAGTTATGTAAAAGTTTAATAAATTTGATATGAATAAAATACGTATACCATTTCTTATTCTTGAAAACATATTTATATCTTTTGGGGTTAATTAAGTAAAAGCATGTAATTGTTATTTTTTATCTTTAAACTTGTATTGAACATTATCTTATAGAAAGTTTATTTTGAAGAACTATTATATATATGATATTTTTTCATCAATAATGTTTTAGTAGAAAGTATGTTAGTTTTAAATATTAAAATTATTTTATAACTTTTTGACTGATTCAATATATTATATAAAGAGTTACTAATTATTAAAGCAAAGTGTATGTTTATTTTAAAGTAAATTTTGTATACACTATCATGGTTGAATGAATAATGCATGAGCAAATTTGGATGAGGCATGAGCAAATTTTTTATTTTAAATTCAAATTTTGCACATGTGTCATATATCTAACCGTGATAGTGTATACACTGATAATATGTATAAGATTAATCCTTATTTTTTTGGTTGAATAGAGGAACAAAGTGTGAATAATACTAAGCACAAAGTTGAGAAAAAAAATTACATGTTTTGAAGGCCTAACATTTACTAAGGTAGGGGCCAAACTGTATACCATTTTTGTTTAGGAGGGCAAAGTGTCATTAACCCTAAAACAAAAAGGCACGTGATAATCACATCGTAAAATATTATTTGCACTCCCATTTTTTGTGATCACATTTCCACTATCATTTTAATCATATAGTATTTATTTATTACACTATATCATAAACCAAATAGTGAGAGTGCACATAGCAAAAAACATAGTACATATAATATTTTCCTATTTACATTCCAGAAACTAGAATTATCACTTGGATCTCGACTTTCCTTCAGGTAATAAAATATTAAAATGAAGTGCACATATTATTTGTCAAACAAAAATATGCTTCAACATATTTGGAATTCAACAAACATGTTAGTGCCTCGAACCCAAAATATCTCCAATGGCTTGAAATTCACTCAAGAACATGACCCCCTCAGTACCTACAAAGCCCTGTTAAGTTGTCACTTTGTGATTCTGAGGTGATCCTTACGCCTCCTGTAAACTAAGGTCCCAAGTCCTAAGATGCGATATTGATAATGAACTCTTTTCTGATTGGTCGTTACCGGCTTCACTCCAACTCCTTGCCTCTAGGATAAAGAAACAGACCCAATTATACTGATCTACGGACGATGGATAAAACGATAGATTTTCAGTCTTTGAAGAGTTCTAAAGAGACACGTACACAAAACCGTAATTACTAGACATGCGTACCAAAACGACTTGCTATAACTATAAACTACTGCAACATAAACATATTTGAGAAGTTTAGTTGTTAGTATCAGTCAAATTCGAAAAGGGTAGGTGGATCTGGTGTTTAATTGTCTTGAAAGGCTTTGAATTTTCGATCCAAGGGCATGTGATATGAATTGCTATTTTTAGGAGTTTTTGTAGAAAAATTTACTATAACGACTAAATGTATGTAAGTTAAAAATGTCATTTTCACAAAAAATATAAATAATTTTTTTTTTTGCAAAAAATCACAATCCAAATAAGAGTACCTCAACTTTGCATGCTTATCCCGGGCAAGCAAAGTAGAAAAAACAATTTGAAAATTAAGCAGAATAGAAAAACCAATCTGAAAATTACATACTAACCAAGTACTAGTAATAACCAAGTGTTATTATTTAAAGATTCCTCATTTTAGAAAAATGAAATCTTAGTTATTTGTGTGAAAAAAAGTAAAGCTACTCAACAGTAATAAGCACTCTTCGGATATCTTGTTTGGATTGCTTCATATTTCCCCAATTTTATTTGCTTACATCATCTTTACAATTTCCAATACACCTTTTTATCTTTCCAATATCTTTTTATCTCACATACGTCACATCACAAAAAGTGCTACAGTAAAAATATCCCAAATAATCCCAAATAACTTACAATCCAAACAGATCCACTAGTTATTATTATTATTTTTTTGTTCCATGAAGAACAAGCTTCTATTATGAAACTGACCGCACGAAAATTAGTACTGAATCACCACCACAATAACCAAAATAAAAAGGGAAATGCACTCATCTTGTTAAACACAGATTTAAAAAATAATTTGGATTGCCATTTTTTTAAGTTTTTCGTAAATATAATATTTAATTATTTTTTATCTTACATATATCAAATCATTACAATACATCTTTCTTTAAAAACATCAAAAAATAGCAATCAAACGGGTTCTAATATACTAATATAGTAGTACAACACTAAATGTACCTGCAAACCACATAGTACTAAACAAAAATTAAGGTTAGATTAGCTACGTGTACCCGTCGGTGGTACATTGTACTATAATATACCACTCGGTATTATAATAATGTATAACAGAGAAAAGTAGTCAAATAAAACGTATGCATTATTATACTATAGTATTATTATCCGTCTATTAAAAAACGTAGATATACATGTTATCCGGGGAAGGGTGCAATTAGGCCAACGGCATGGTGGCCCGGTGCCCCTGCCTGTGGCTCTAAATTCTACTGTTAATAAATATTTCGTTTGTATCATAAACACATTTTTCAATTTATTTTTTTAATATTTTTAATTATTTTTTTATCTCGTATATATCATATCATAAAAAATATTATAGTAATTATTTTAAATAATATTTCAAATAATACTCTACCCAAACAGATTAATTAAATGTTTTATGGCCCTTTACTCGTTCGTTTTCTAGTACGACGACCAGTTTTCTTTGCTTACGTCGACAGTAGTAAGATTGAGATCGGAGAGATCCTCGTCGGCGACGAAACACACACACTCACACACTAACGAATGTGCTGACACATAATATTCTCTTTTCTTTTCTTTTTTTGTTTGCTTCTCTTACTGAATACTTCCCGCTTAAAAGGTGGCGATTCCTTCTCCATCCCCTCGTCTTCCTTTTACTCTTTCCTCCTCCCCCTTTTTTCTTCTTCCTTCTCGTTCTTTGTCTATATACTTTAACACCATATTTATTCCCTTTTGTTTAAAATTTTTTTTTGAGGTAGAAAAAAGCCAGTTCTACTTAACTTTAATAGTGAAGCTTAAATTTAGTCATTTTTAAGTCTCTCAATTACAAGTACACTAAAATACACGCACTAGTACGACAGAGTGTTAATCCAGTTGAATTGTTGCAATCTGGCTTTTGCCGGCCATCGGAGGAGGAGGAAGAGGAGGAGCTTCTTCAGTTTTCCAGCTGAAAAAAGTTAAAAAGGGGAGAAGGGATTCACTGACACGGTGGTGCAGAACTAGTCACGTGTGGATCGCGCGTTTTCTCGCTCGACCAATTCCATTCTTCTTCCTTTTTTTTTTAAAGGTATTTATTCGCTATTTTTGTTGGATTATTTTCTTCTGTGATTCATTTTTTCCTTTTTTTCCCCTTTGCCATGGCGTGTTTCTGATATTGGGATGGAAATGTTGATTAAGTTGAGATCCATGGATTAATTTAAGAAGGGGGGGGGGGGGGAGATTAAAGCTATCTCCTTTTTTAGTTTCTTATCAAGTGGGAAATGAAAGGTTTTATCTCTTTTTAGTGTTTATCTTTTTAATGAAATGTTTTCCATCATCTACTTGGTGCTTCCTTTACTGGACGCTAGCTACAAATGTGTTATATACTGATCACTCAAATTTATTAAACGTCTTCATAGAAAGATGGCTTAATATTGAATTTAAACGCTTCATTTTTGCTGCTTTTGTGCTACGTGTTCATTTTTCTTTTCCCTGCTTAATACTAGTTCCCCCTCCTCCTCCTCCGTGGTAGTAGTATCATCTTATTTTATTAGCCGTGTAGGAGGCAAATAATAAAAGGGCTAATATATATCTTTGTTATTTGAAGGTTTTTTTTTTTTCAATTGAAATAACAAAATTGGAAGTGGTCCGACGAAAGTTGAAAACTTAAGCAATAAAACACAAGATTAAAAACAAGAGAACATAGTCAATTTATTATGTCCCTGCCACGTTTTGATCTTTGAGATCAATACACTTGAACATCCATTTAGGCTGAACAGTTTGGAACATTTTTGCTGCCTCTTGGTAAGTGGTAAAGATAATGCCCGGGGTAATGTATTTCTGCCCTCCCCCCTTTCAAACGTCCATGCGAGCTTGTTGTTCAGCCTGCAGAACAAAGTTGTCTTGCGAACAGTTTGACTAGAATTGCCTCGTGAACATTGAAACACATTGTAGGCTTGGAAAGAAATTTAGATGCAAATTTGGATAATTTTGGGCTCTTTTTGCAGCTTGAATAAATAAAGACATGCAAAGGTAGGGAGGAATAATTAAGGACATTATTCATGTGTTTCTGGTTATTTCTTGAATTGCCATTCCTCCCTTTATGGTTCTTAATTGTTCTAATTTGACTGTAAGCTGTGTTAAAGGGTTTGAGTTTACGTGATATGCCATCTTGCAAATTTGGGCGATTGATTGTTTTGAGAAGTGTAATCGTTTGATGTAGAAGGAGAATGGAATGTCTTTAGCTATTGTAACTGAGTTAAAAGTTGTGCTGTGTTTTTTGGCTTCTATTTTCTTCCATTGATCCTTCAGCTTGATATGCATTTCTTGCAGTTTGTTATGAGATTCTTTAAAAGTAATAGTTGCCTATGAGGGCATCTAAACCATGGTGGTGGCTGCTGAAAAAAAGGCTCGCTATATTTGATGGGGTTGGTTCTATGATCCATACACTTCTGTTCAATTCACCATAAGCTGGGTAGATGTGATTACAGATTACTTGAGCATTGTGCTTTGATGACCATGTAAGAATATCACAAGTTTTAAACTAATGAAGTGGTGATGCAGGGAACATGTGGAGCAAAGATGAAACCACTGCCATTTATGGTAGTTATCTGTACATTAATGTTGTTCGTGGTGTATAGGACCACTAATTATCAGTACCGACAAACAGAGGTATGTAGAGATGTTGGCTTAAATGATTTTAAACCATCACTGCCATAATTCAAAGCAACCACCCACAGCACAAGCATAATTTGGTGGTGCTATAAGCTCGAGGATGAATCTATGTGAACCTAATCATATTGCAATCTCTAAGTCTCTGTTCTGGATAAAAAAATTAATTGAAAATTTTATGTGAATTAAGAGTTGCAATGATCAACTTCTTGCTCTCCTGTTCATTTCAAATTGCATTTTTTGTACCAACCTGGCTGCTAATATTACATACTTTGTTTTGTCGTAAACTGAGTTTTACTTCTATAGAATCTTTACAGCTAAGGACCACCTGTGTTCAGTTTTCATGTTCCCTTTCCTGTGCACTTACTCACTCCCTGTTTCCCCTTTCCTTATCAGATGGAGTCAAGATTAAGGCCTTTTTTTATGCTAAAGGTATAGACTTCGGCATACGTCATGCAATTCTTTTCAGTTGCTTGCACTTGATGGTTGTGTTGCAGCATTGCATTAGCAGTTGGAATTTCCTTGAAGTTTATTAACTTAATGAGATCTGTTTGGTGCTTTTTCTAGGATTCTGGTATACCTACTACGAGTTTGAATGCATTACCTCGTGGCATCATTGAGGCCAGATCGGATCTAGAGTTAAAGCCTCTATGGTCAAGCGATAGTTCAAGAAAAGAGGTAATTATTCTTGAACTATAATTCAGTATTTCCTATTTCTTCTAAATTATGACCGCTTGATTTATCATAAACTGGTCATTATTCATGTGCTTAAGGTAGATCCTCTTTCTATGCTGAACATCCTATATATTTGCAGCTCAATACTCCCAGTTCTCAGTGCTTATTGGCTATTCCAGTTGGTATTAAGCAGAAGCGCAATGTTGATAGAATCGTACAAAAGGTATTACATTTTGTTGGTGCTTGATTCCTAGAAGTTTAAACTCTCTGGATATATTTATTAACTTATGTTTTTGTATTCAGTTTCTTCCAGAGAATTTTACAATTGTTCTTTTCCACTATGATGGCAACGTGGATGGTTGGTGGAACCTTGAATGGAGTAAGAAGGCAATACATATGGTTGCCTTCAACCAAACCAAATGGTGAGGATGCTTATAATGAAGTGTTTCCTAATAGAGCATTGTAGCAAATAAGAGATACAATTGTTCTACCCATTAAGTGCTAGAAATTGTTCAGTGTTAATTGTGGTATTTACTGGACCAAAGATTGTAGTTTTCATGCCAAACCTTGTTGATGATTTATGCCTCCAGTGTTGCCTCAAATAACATCTACGTATCAGTTCAGCGAGACTTGGACCTAGTTGATCATTAAATGGCTTCCTCTGTCCAACTTATTAGCACTATTTATAGTTTGTGCAACCTTGTGGTGTATACAGAAACTTGAACAGGATTAAATCTCTGGATTAAGGGTATAGATAGACTGCCTCTTCCAATCCTGGCGTCGTCGTAGTAGTTGTAGTTGTGGTAGTAGTACTAATAATAAGAAAGAAGCTCTTTTGATCCTGATATTTTGCCGGTTGAACTTTGAATTTCTGATTCCATGGTCTTTTATATAGAATATGTAGCAAAGGAGAATTTGCATAAAAGTTCTTTTTTGTAGTTCTCAGTTAAGCATCTCATGTGATTTCAGGTGGTTTGCAAAGCGCTTCTTACACCCAGCTGTTGTATCTGCTTATGATTACATATTCTTGTGGGATGAAGATCTTGGGGTGGAGCATTTCTGCCCAAGAAGGTACAGTAGTTACTCTCATGCGGTATCTTTTGTGCTTTCTTTGTAGAATGGGCATCCCAAGAGAGGTTTGTGTTTTTCCCCCCTTCCTCTGATCCTGAGAGGAAGAAAACAAAAACAGCCTGCGAGCATCTTTTGTGCTTTCTTTGTAGAATGGGCATCTATCACCTATCTTTTAGGATCACTAGACCCATTTTCCTTTGGTTCTTAAACTCTATTTACTAAAAATTTCCATCACTTTTGTTTGTGGAAACATTTTTAAATGCTTTCCCTCTCTGTCAGTGCCACATATGCTTCTTGCATATAGGGATGAGCAATGCTTAACTCCTCTCCTCTTCCTGTGAACTATGGTCTTGCTTCAGTCTGCATAAGATTCATTTGACTTCTACTTAGATGTTTCTAATTAACTATTTTTGGAGTGAAGACTTCAAATGTGTAATACTGCAAAGTTCGGACTATAGCATTGCAGGGGATGGGAGAATCCATTGTTTTCAAATTTAGGCTGCGCTGTAGTTGTATGATGTTCTTGGTGTTCTTTGAGCAATGCCTGTAACCTATAAAAGAGGTATATCGAGTTGGTTTTTACTTGCATTTCTTTTTTCTTCTTAGATACTTGGAGATTGTAAAGGCAGAAGGACTGGAAATATCTCAGCCAGCTTTAGACCCTAATTCTACCGGTATACATCATAGAATTACAATACGACAGAGATCAAAGAAGTTTCACCGGTGAGTTCAATAATCGCTGTGATATGATGCTAAATTCACCTTGTAGATGCTTTTAAAGGTGCTAATGCTTTAACTTAATGCAGAAGAGTCTATGAAACCAGAGGCAGTACGAAATGTTCGGATGCAAGTGATGGGCCACCATGTGCTGGGTAATTTTTTTAGCTGTCTTCACCAATTGCTATCTTGCAATTAGCCAGTATTCTCACTTGTTTACTAATTTATGAGTACCAATGTGAATTGGTTTATTTGGTATGCTTCTATCAAGAAGGTTTTTACAAATTGTTCAGGTTGAAGTTGAATTAATTGGTTCAATTTTGCAGGTTCGTGGAAGGAATGGCTCCTGTCTTTTCAAGAGCTGCGTGGCATTGTTCCTGGCACCTAATACAGGTGAGATATTTTAAAAAATCCATCTGCTTGGTATAGGTTTTGCTTCAACATATTTTGACACGGTAATTCATAGCTTTGTGGCAGTCTGTCATTGAGAATCTAATGATTTATCTTGGTATGCATGTGAATTATGTTATACTTGTGGCCGTGGCTGTGGCTTTTTGTCCTTTTTTCATGTTGAGAAAAAGAACTAATTCTAATGATTGTTTTAGATTGTGTCCTCCTAATGTTAAGCAATTTATGAGTCTGTGTTTGTCTTGTCAAGGTTCATATAATTCTTTGAGTAATTTGTGTGTTGAAACAGTTGACTAGGAATTTTACTGTGTCTTTTACTTTTTCTTAGGCCTATTTTTATTTTTTCCTGGTTTCCCATTTTGGCTGCTATTGTGAGCAGAGATGGATGATATAAGCCGTTTTTATTAAGCTTTGAAACTTTAGTTTTTTCTTTCGATTTACTAAAGTTTTGCTTCATTGCATTTTTTTTGCAGAGTGATCTTGTTCATGGATGGGGAATGGACATGAAACTGGGATATTGTGCGCAGGTGAGATATTAAATTGGGTTATCCTACAATGTTTTGACGTGATAATGTTATGAACTTCATGTTCCTTTTTATCTATTCATTACATATGCACTGTTATACTAAAAAGAACTTTTGTGTATGTCTATGTAATTTGTAAAAGAATCCAGTTTCTTCTGGACATGAAACCTGCAGAACTTTTTTTACTGTTACTCCCAATTTTTCTTACCTGTTTGGATTGGAAATTATGGCCACTTCTTACAATGTTGAAGTTGGTTTTTTTTGTGTTGCTTCTCTATTGCTGCAAAATTGGATGTGCTGGCTAGTCAAAGTGGCTTGTTTGAGTCTGTCGCTGTAATGCTTAAGTTACAGGATGATGGCATCTTTATGCAAAGTTATCACCAGAGAGAGAGAGTGTGTGTGTGTGTGTTTGTGTGTGTTTGTGTGTGTGTGTGTGAGAGAGAGAGAGAGAGAGAGATCTCCTCTCTGTAATGGGGTTTGGTTGACATGTTTCCTTAGGGATCTGATGACGGTTTGCATTCTTACAGGGTGACCGCACGAAAAATGTGGGAGTGGTTGATAGTGAATACATAGTTCATCAGAGTATACAGACATTGGGAGGGAAATCTGCCAAAAAGGTGATCTACCTATTCACTTCCTTCTCTTTTCTTTTAATGTACGAGGTTGTTATTTCATGGCATGGCTACACATATGCGACCATTTTACATGCTACAGCTCACATCAATACTAAGTCACTAACTTTTCTAATTCTGTTTAGGGGGCAGAAGTTTTGGTCCCTGATAAGCTACTTCATTATTGATATTTCACTTCTTAGATGTTTAAATTGCAGATAATGAAAAGCTTTAAGTTTTCTGTCTTTTTATTTTTCCTTAAAATGTTTAAAATGTTTTTGTTGGATTCTGGTAATTTGGGTTATATGCCTTTAACATTTTGGTTTTGAATCGCAATTAAAGAAATATTTCCTTTTTTTTAATCTATGCAAAAATCACCTTAGAGGCTATCTTGGAGAAATTGACTTCTGGTGAAACCCAGCCGCAACTTCTGTTAAAATTCAGCCTTGTTTAAAAACAGAGAAGTGGATTTTGACCTTAAAAGTTTTATGAAACAAGATAGACTGCAATATCCCTGTGGGGAGAAGAAGAAGAGGGGCACATTGTTTTCCGGATTCCTGATCTTTGATGCTTGGTACTCGTTCCACTGCAAAATCCTCTCTGAATGAATAATATATAGATACTATGTGGCCATTTAAACTTTAAAATCACTTCAGAATTTTACAATGACAAAGTCTTCGCTTGATGTTTCTGGGTCTAGCATGACCTCCATTATTTCCAGGTTCTTTTCTTACCTTTTTGTACCAAATCCCAATTTCAATGACCATTGTTTTATACAGCATTAGCCAAAAAGCTGGATCAGGGTGGTAAAACCTGCACCCATTAGTGCAAGCATATGCAGTAGTTTATCAATCCACCTGTCTTTACAAAGAGTCTGCTGCAATAATGAGTATGACAATAGACAACGGAAGGTTTGAGGTAATGAGACTGGCCAACTATGGTGGAGGAAGAAGGAATAGAATTTGGAAGTAAGGAATGGAGACTCCTAGATAAGTTGATTTCTTTAAAATGGGCTTTGGAAAGTTGATTTTAGAGAAATCGATTTCCACGTTTTGTGGAAAATGAATTAAAAGGACAATATTTTTTGACGTTCTTCTAAAAATGAATTCTTGGTAAATAGCCCCTGAAGATTTGCATACCTGCCCTCAATTATAAAATAGCCAGCCACCATACAGAAAAACAGATACCATCAAAGATCAAATTCCACGAGGCACAAGGCTTTAAGGCTTAGCCTTATAATGACCTAGTGGAATTAAACTGCCTGCGTGTTTTAGGATAATTCTAGTACTTAAGTTTTCACTCGATTATTAAGCCTTTAGTTCGCCACCATCTATCATCAAAGTTGCTGGCTATTTGACTGATTTGCAGTTTCCTTTTTGTATATTGCTACTAACTTCAACAAGTGAAAACACTCTAGCAGTTGCTACTAACTCCAGTAAGTGAACACACTCTTATGGTTGCTGTACAGAGGTGGTTGACTGAATAATTGAAATATGCCTAATATATGAATCCAACTCACACATCTGTGTAGTCGTGGCCTGCATGTGAGGGGACTCTTGTTCAAAACATAGTTTCTCAAAGCACTGTTGGGCTGATTAACCTACCCCCACCTATGTATCTTTGATAAGACAGATAGTTTCAGATGGTTGAGCTAGCAGTTGAAATAGATATAATGTCAATATTAAGTAGCTGCTAAGGATACGAGGGTTCCATTAAATAACTTCTAACGCTTACATAATTTTTGCTTCGTCACGTATTAAGGAAGAGAAATCTTCAATTACATGGGAAACAAAGCTATATAAAGCCAATGGCTGCAAGAAGCCTTATTTCAGAAAAACCAAGGCACTGAACCAAAAGATTACTTTTCCTGATCCTGAAGTTGCTTGTATATGCATTGAAGAATTTTGACATATTGGTAGTGCACCTAGTTTTTGCTCGCAACTCAGTGCTAGGTTTTTGGTCGGGAGGAGCTTACGATTTCAGGTCTTGGATCTGTGCCTGATTTGCTTACCATGTATACTCCTCTGTCTCGGTGCGCTTTTTAACAAGTTGATGACAAGGTAATGATAATAAAACATTGACATCCATTGACAATGTTTGATCTTTGTGCAGACCTCAATTGCTGGAGGGTCAACAAAGGTATAGACTTTATCTTATGGTTGCTTCTTTATCTTGTCCCTCGTTCTTTGTGCTATGCGTCTTGCATTTACACATCGGGTTCTTTTTTTATCTCAGAGGCATGAAGTTGATGTACGATTGGAGGTGAGGCACTGGATCACTGATGTGCTGCTTTCATCAGTTGTATTCCTGTTTCTCTTGAACCTTGTAGATCTGTCTAGAGAAAAAGACCTTAAGATCATACACATTACCATGAAGTGCTTTTCGATAGAATAAAAGATTCATGCCCCCCTAACGCTATCATTCTTCTTTTGCACTTTGTGCAGGTTAGGAGGCAATCAACATCAGAGCTTCAGACATTTGAAGATCGGTGGGAGCGAGCCATTAAAGAGGACAGATACTGGGTGGATCCATATAAAGGAAGCCAAAGAAGGCGGCGGCGATACAGCAGAAGACGGCATCATAAAGCGTAGCCTTAGTTTGTCCGATCACTCAGATTCACACCCTGTAGTTCTTAGTCTCTGCAGGCTATAATGATCATCATCATTAATTCATTATTGTTTCAATAGTGCCATTATTTATTTGTGCCGGTAATTCATTTTTTTTTTTTTACTAATGTTACAAATGACTCCTCACTAATTCCCCTTCCATGTTTAATGCTTCATGAAACGGCCTTTGTGTCATGGGATATGTAAAATCTGTGTTTTGATGCATATTTTATGACGTCAAAACCCCATCATGCCATTGGAAAATCATGACTCAGTTAATACTACTAGTGCCTGCCATGGTTAGGGATGGCGGTCTTCAGTTACATCGACCATGTTGTTGCCATCTGCTTGATCTGTCAATGAATGCTTTCGGATGCAATACCAATGAAAATTGTTTCCCAGTGCGTCTCTAATACGCCGTGGATTCTTGAGATGCTGGAGTAGCCAGGACTATGGCGTTAACAGCTCGTTTTTCCAACCCAGAATATGTTGGCTCAGGACCTATTTCCAACCCTGATGACGGTTTGGTGAAACTGTGGCCTTCTAGATGGTACTGAATAATATCGCAGGAAAAATAGTCAAAGGGCCTAATTGACAAGTGATTTGAGGATAAACCCAAGTGCTCCCCACGGCTTCCGCTTTGCCGGTCAAAATTCAACTATCTTTTTGTGGCTGCCGCTAACTTTTGCGTTGACTGGTTGGATTGTAAATTAGTAACCATGGATTGTAAATTAGTAACCATGGGCTCCGTTTGGATTAGCTGTTTTTGGGGTTGTTTTTAAAAAACAGCACTGTAGCATTTCGTTTTTGAAATACAAGTCTGTTTGAATTAGTTGTTTTTTAGGTTGTTTTTCAAAAACTATGTGAAAAACTTTTACTGTAAATATGTTAAACAGAGTATCATTTTTTTTTTTTTTTGAATCAACAATCACAGTAGTGTTACTTCATGACCACGCATTTTGACAAAAAATTGAAATAAAATAAAATAAATTTCGTTTCAAAAAGATTGATTACCTTTTAATTGGATTTTCGACTGTTCCAAAATTAGTGTGTGTTGAGATATAGCCCTAATTTTAGATTAGTTCCCAAATTTTCAACTAAAACAAATGTGGCAAATGTTACACCTTAAAAATGTCAAGGCTAAACAAATGGTACACTCATTTGCCCCGTAGTAAAAGTTTTGAATATTTTAACGGGATGTCTAATCGATATTTGTTAATAGATCTAAAATTAAACCTAACTTATCACGTGAATATACACAATTATAATTATTATTGCACTTCTATATTTAGATACTTTTTTTTAAAAAAAAAACTAACACTAGAGACCCATTAGCCAAACTCAGGAAAAGTTAATTATATATTATTGATTAGGCTACTTTTGGACATGGTTATACTTAACGCACGATCTACCTATATGTACATTAGCCAAACTCAAGGGAGGTTTCTGAAATGATCCCTTGAATATACAACAACTTGGAAATCATGTCAACTGCTATATCATTATTTAGTTGATTGATTCCTACATGCAATAAAGACTAGCTTCACCTCAAAACTCACATAGCTAATCCCATTTTCTGAACTCTGTGGCATCTACCTATCATCAATAATGATCATTTCGTAGGCACCTATTGGAGCAGTTGAGACTCCCGTTTGGAGACTCGTTAACACGACTTATAACTATCTAACCACTTCGTTATCAGAACGAAAAAAGAAAAAAAAAATGGTAAAAAGCAGTTCAACGGGAAGACAGGTTTATGAAATTATTCAACTTAGTCTGCGTTTGATAAAAGATAACTGAAATCTGAATCCATTAAATTATTAAATACTAAATTTGATACAATTGAGTTTATATCACATTAAGTGATAAGTAAATAACATTTAACTTAGAGGATTCAGTACCATTTAATTAATTCAGATATTCTATTTTGTTGTTATCAAACGCAATTAAACATATTAAGATCTGAATTCATTAAATTTAAATACTGAGTTAAGTTATCAAACAAGACCTCGGTTTTTGTAGTACTAGATTGGCCGCAGTAGAAGTTTTACATTCCAATGAAAATACAACATAATATACCGAAGAGTTGGTAAACATAATAACGTATCCAAAAATATATTCCGAGTATAGCTTGCTGTTTTTTGAGATCGTCACGTAATTATCTTATCTTTTTTTTTTTTTTGGATAACTAGTAAATTGGTTATAAGAAAGTATTCACTGGTAAGAAATTTTGGAAATCTTAAAAGTATAATGCATTTAAGATCAGTGGATCGCACATGAAACGAAAGAGCTTGAAATGTTATTTAGGTAAGTTTAATTTGCCTCAAATGTACATGTTGAGTAATGCACCTAGATTGGCTCTAAGAAACACGAGTTAGGTAAAATTTTCTAATGGGAAAAATACTTTGGTCGAACTTTGAAGACAATTTAGATACGCAAATCATATAATTTCTAATGGTACAAAAATGAATATGAGGCTAAAAAATCATTTCCATCGTTGAAAAAGTTCTTGGACATCTTGATTTTCCGTTTAAGCTCAAATTTCATTTTAATTTCCATCCAAACCATGACATGAGCCCTTTTTTTTTACCATGATCACTTGGCCAATCCTAGTGGTTAATAATTTACGAAAAACTTTATGAACTACCAAATTAACCCACCAATAGCGTATGGAAATTCATGTATGAGATTTAAATGCGCATAGCATAATCTTGGCCAATTCTTTTAATAGTTATAGTTTGGTAAATTATGGGTTCGGAACAAAAAGATAAAAAGAGTAGAACGGTTAATATAGGATCACAATTTGCATCCAATTTTATAGGACAATGTTCTCAAATTGTAATATCCATGTGTATTATTATAGTATTTTTAGGATTTGATGTATGATAAAAACGTAATTGAAAAATGTATTATGAAAAAATAGAAAATTTTTCTTGGAAAAATAGCGATGGAAACAAGACCAAGACAAAATTAGAATCAAAATATTTCCGGTGGCAAAGTATTTCTTTCCCCAATATAAAATTTAAACGGTTCTCCTTTCCTTTTCCAGGTGGCAGTAATTTTATCGGACAAGGCAGAGAAGAAATAGGCATTAAATTTCTAATGTCGTCTTAAATTCAAAAAAAGCACTCCAGGATTGGCTGACCAACAAGCCAAGGGCGGAGGACAAGTCTTTCATTTTCTCTTTCTACGTTTTCAACTTTTTCCTTTCTTGCTTTCTTCCCCAATTTCACATCTGGTACTAGTAGTACATTATATTCTCCATTGTAAACTTCAATACTAGTTGTAAAAAAAGCCAAAAGGGTCTTCTCCATCTATCTCTCCAGCACTTAGACACCTCATATATTTTGAATCTTCCAAAACTCTTCTCCTTAATTTCTTGCCTGCTAAGCTTTTTGCTTTTCTCTCTTTTTTTTTTAATTAGAAATTTTAAAAATATACTTCTAGTGCTACTATTATCAGATCTCCGTAAGCCCAATAGTAAACAAACTCTCTGCAATGGCTGGCCGTTATGATCGGAACCCTTTTGACGAGGAAGAAGAAGTCAATCCCTTTGCTGTAAGTTTGCTTCTTACTTTACCGTCTGATTTTGTACTAATTTCCCGTTTTATGTAATTATGCTTGAATTTTGGGTTGCTTGGTGGTTAATCTGTATATCGGTATGCGGGCTTTGGGTATTATGTGCTTTCTTAGCCGTGAGTTGGGTGGATTTATTGAGGTTTTTGTGGACTGTAAGATTCTTGGCGGTTGATAGCATGAGCGGTTCTATCCTGAAATTTGGAATTCTGTTATAGTGTTTCTCATAATTACTTTTTTATTTTCTGAGTTTTTGTCCGGTCGATTGCCTGTTTTCAAATGGAATTTATGTACTTCTAACTAGGTTGACTTTTGTTTGACTGGCTGTACAAATTGATCTGCAATTAGAGCTGAAATCATAAGGGCTTTGGTAATTATTGATCTGCGAGAAGTTTCAAGCGGGTGGCTGGGGGTTTCTTCTATTTTAATTTTTCACTTTTTTTTTGTTTTTTGTTGTGGGGGGGGGGGGGGGGGGGGGGGTTGGGGAGGGAGACAGGAAGACTTATTGGTGCTCAAACCATCGATTATTGTTGGAGGCCTGCTGATTGAGGTTGGAGTATTATAGGTAGGATGAAAAATGATGGTCTTCCCAACTCTGATGTATCTAGATATTTGGTATACTCCTATTCTTTCGGTACTTGGGCGGCAACCCAAAAAATTTACGCAGTAGAGTGACATTTCTGATGCTGGAGTTCAGAGAAGTGTGATATTTTAGATTATTGGCTTAGATGGTTTTAGTCCTTTGAGAGTTGGAAAAGTCAGCATTTGATCTAGAAAAGTAACTTACAGTAATTTGTTGAGGATGAGGCTATGTTTTCTGATTCTATTAATGCAGTTCTAAGTATTAGCTTTACCATACATATTATGCATAGTTATTCAATATGATGCACTGAGTTTGAAGAGATGTTCAAATTTATGATTCTTTAAATTGCTTTTATTTTTGAATTTATGGCAGGATGGAGGGAAATCTAAGTTTAGTGGAGGAGCATTTTATACAACAGTAAGTACATCATTACGCCTGTAGTTCTTCCAGTCATATAGTTAAAATGGCCAGTTTTTAGTTTGCTTTAAATTAAAATGTTGTATTCCCCATGTTTTAGAGCGATAATGGCTGGATGATAGTTGTGCATTTGAACTATATCCTAATTTTTGATAAACGTAGTATTGATATATCATACTAACATGGCTTTGTCTATTTACATCACAAAGATGCTTTTGGCATCACATTTAATGTTCTTCAATGCTTTAGAGGAAGGTTTCTAGTTCAATGGTGTTCTTTTGCCAGTGTTATGAACTCATTTGTTCATGCAGATGATTTAGATGAATGAATTATCTTTTAAGTTTTTTCTTTTCATTCTCCGTGTTTTGCTACAAGGCTGGTGATGTCGTCTCTCTCTCTCTCTCTTTAATACTTGATTCAATTACCTCGTATAATGTGTTACAAAAAATTTTTTCCTTCAAGCAGTTCTTCCTTTTCTCTTTTGAAGGAAGTAAAGAAACTCATTAATGCCATCTATCTTTCTCGAATTTCAGTCTGGCAGTGTCCCTGCAGCAACAAACTCAAGGCTTTCGCCTCTTCCACCTGAGCCTGCAGATTTCTATAACAGTACTGCCTCAATTGATATTCCTCTGGATAATGCTGCAGTAGGTCCAATCCTTAGAACTATCATATAATACCTTATGTTTTTCAACAGTATTTAGTTATGTCTAATTTTATTGTGTCCCAATTAGGATTTGAAAAAGAAAGAG